GGATAGGAAAGGTAGCAGAATAAAACAGTCACTAATATGCCATTATGTAAAAATGTGAATGTGTAACCGATGTGATTCTGCAATTTGTATTTGGGGTAAAAATGGGAGTTCATAACCCACTTGAATCAAATGTATGAAAGATGATATGTCATGAGCTTTGTAATATTTTGAACAACAAATAATAAAAAAAAAGAAGAACCAGAAGGAACATCACAGTATTTCAAGAATAATCTCACATTGGCAATTTGCAGAAACTAGCAAGTGACTCAGAATGTCAGTTTATTCATTTATAATGAGTAACATAACTACCACACTGAGCAAAAAATTACTGATGTGAAACTCATGAATCAGAACACAAGCCATCAGATGGTTCTTTGGCATGTATAAAATAAGAATAGGGATGCTTGAATGTAGGGCTCAGATGGTTAATGGCATTGCTACTGGAGTCCAGCTTCCATAGAAACTAAGAAAGTCAAATATACTGGAGATGGTAGACACTCCTTGGATACACACTGAAGATCAGAAGTATGATCTCACTGTGTTCTAAAACCCATGTTTCTCAAATTGCAGTGACCCTGAAAACACCTTTGAACAGTATTGGCACAGAGAATACTTGCAACACATACATGGCAAATAATAAAGGGAAAAGGATATATTCCTACTCAAAGCCAATGGGCAATGTATCTTCCTAGGATATTGAATGTAGGCAATTGCAAATAATATTTAAAATATCTGCCAGGCATGGTGGTGCGTGCCTGTAATCCCAGCAACTCAGGAGGCTGATACAGGAGGATAGCAAGTTCAAGGCCAGCCTCAGCAACTTAGCAAGGCCCTATGCAATTTAGTGAGACCCTGATTCAAAATAAAAATTAAAATAAGGGCTGGGGATGTGGCTCAGTGGTTAAGCACCCCTGGGTTCAATCCCTGGTACCGAAATAAAAATAAAAATAAATAAAATATCACATATGCACATATATTTATATTATAATATAATGTTATGCTATATATTATAGACAGTGCTAACTAGGGAGAATCCTATTCACATGTCTGTTAAAACATTAAACCAAATAAAAATGTTTGATTGCAAAAGATGGCTTCCAACTGTGATTTTACATGTTTGATAATATGAATCACTTTCTTCTGCCCTGCTCGCTTAAGTTCACCATTTTCCTTCCTTTCATCAGTATTTTTTAATTGCTTTTATTTTTAAATACATGACAGCAGACTGCATCGCAACTCTTATTACACAGATAGAGCACTATTTTTCACATCTCTGTTTCTATATAAAATATGTTCACACCAATTCATGTCTTCACACATGTACTTTGGATAATGATGTCCATCACATTCCTCCATCCTTGCTAACTCCCCACCTCCCATTTTCCCTCCCACCCCTCTGCCCTGTCTAGAGTTCATCTGTTCCTCCCATGCTCCCTCTCCCTACCCCACTATGAGTCAGTCATCTAATATCAGAGAAAACATTCGCCATTTTTTTTAGGGGGGCAGGGATTGGCTAACTTCACTTAGCATTATCTTCTCCAACTGCATCCATTTGCCTGCAAATGCCATTATAGCTAAACTGTGGAACCAACCTAAATACCCTTCAGTAAATGAAAGGATTAAAAAAATGTGGCATATACACACAAATGGAATATTACTCAGCCATAAAACAGAATGAAATCATGGCAGTTGTAGGTACCAAAGGCCAAATGTTTTCTTTGATATGAGGTTGCTGACTCATAAAGGCGATTTAGTCAGGGGGGAACATGGGAGGAATGAAGGAAGTTTAGATACAGCCAAGGGGGAGGGAGGGGAAAGGAGAGGAGAAGGAGGTGGAAATGATGGTGGAATGAGTTAGATATCATTACCCTAAGCACATATGTAAGACACGAATGGTGTGAAAATACTTTGTGTACAATCAGTGTCTTGAAAAATTGTGCTCTATATGTGTAATATAAAATGAATTGCATTCTGCCATCATGTATAACAAATCAGAATAGATTTTTTAAAAAAAGAACTTTGCAGGGCTGGGGATGTGGCTCAAGTGGTAGCGCACTCGCCTGGCATGCGTGCGGCCCGGGTTCGATCCTCAGCACCACATACCAACAAAGATGTTGTGTCCACCAAGAACTAAAAAATAAATATTAAAAATTCTCTCTCTCTCTCTCTCTCTCTCTCTCTCTCTCTCTCTCTCTCTCTCTCTCTCTCCTCTCTCACTCTCTCTTAAAAAAAATAAAAATAAACTTCATTTTTAAAAAAAGGACTTTGCCCAAGATTAAACAAATAATAGATGGTGGAGACAAGATTTGAAACAGATTCTTTTCAACTGTAGAGCCTCTGTGTTTTCCACTTGATTTTACTTTGGGGGTGTCCTCCAACTCTTTGTTCAAATAACCTTACAATTTATTCCACAAAAATCCTAACAAGTATAATTTTTCAACTTTATGAATGCAAACTTCATTTCCCTTATTTCCAAATATTCAGGTAGAGGGAGGGGCTGCCTCAGTGCCATTTCCTTGCATCATTGAAGAACATGAAAAGCAAGCAAGAGAAAGAGCGTGCACACATCAAAAGGAGCTTTCAGAAACAAATTTATTTCCATGTAAGAAATTCATTTTTCCTGGAAAAGAATAGATTTACCTGTGCTTGGAACCCCTGGGGTATAAGCAAGCCACGAATTTTAAATACTAAAAAAAAGAAAAGCCTGAGGTTGGGGATGTAGTTCAGTGGAAGAGCACTTGCCTCGCTTGTGGAAAGCCCTAGGTTCAATTCCCAGGCCCACTCCCCATTTTTTTTTAAAAAAAAAAAAAAAGATCATATCAAAACCTTCATGAAGCAAGGTAGCCTTACCAGTAAGCTCCGTGGCACTGAGAATCAGATTGAAAATTGCTCATCAAAGAGGCCACGGTCAGTTTCTCACTTTTAAGGATCAGGAAGGGAAAGTGACCCAAAGCCCTCAGTATGTGTCTTCTGCTGGCCAGTCACAGATGCTAACCCTCCTCCAGGTCTCCACGGGGTGATTGGCTCAGGCGGACCTGGCCTTCCCAGAATCTCACCCACCACTCAGAGTCCTGCTTACAAGCAAGACATTCCGGGAAATGCCACTGAGTGAAAGAACCTCGGAGGAGTGAGCAGGAAATAGGTGCCCCAGTGAGTCCCTGTGGGCTAGCAAGGTAGACTGGGGCCCCGCCAAATCTTCTTTTCAAAAACCGGTAGGAAAACCAATAAAGATAAGATAAAAATAAATCAAAATGTAACCAACATAGCCTGTAGAAGTACTTCCCAGTACAATCTTCACTTGGCCAAAACTCTTGGAAACAAACACTGCCTTCCCTGTTTTGCAAATGAGCTGACAGAGGAGTCACAGGGACAGCTGGGTTTTGAGCCTCACAGATTATCTCTAAAATCTCTCCTTTTCTTTCTCCATGCTCAAATGCTTCCACTACACATGCTGAGCTCCAGCTGTATGCTGAGCACTGGGCTGTGTGCTCAGAGAGAGCAGAGACAGGACAGCATCCCTGAGAGCAGAGTCTACGATGAAGACTGACCGTCACACCAAACCCTCTGCAGTGGCTGCCACACAGGGCAGACAGGAGAGGCATGTCCACCTAGGATGTGGGAGTGACACCGAAGCTGGGACCTGAGATGACCAGAAAATGATCAAAGGACAGGGTTTCGTGAAGACTTTGATCTTGGGAACTGACTTGAGCAATCTCCAATCAGACAGCGACAATCACAAGTTCCCCTGCGACTCAGGGGTCATGAACTTCGGGGACTTCACATTTTCACACTGTCCAGCAAATATTGTTAGAAGAATGATCTTTTCAAAAAAAAAAAAAAAAACAGAATGGGAGACCAATAGAAGTGGAAACAGACCAGGGTTTCCCCAGAGAATAAAACCAGGGAAGTCAATCCTCCATTGGACTGCTGTGTTTGGATTCTATCTTTTATTAGATTTTAGTTAATACTTTGTTTTTAAAAACTGAGGAAAAATGAACAAAACCAAAAACTTTTAAAAAAAGAATGGGTATGTAATACACATATAATATATATGCACACATATATGTGAACATGTATGTATGTGCATTCTATATACATATACCTGTGTCTAGAGAGAAGAGTTATAGACAAATTATATTCAGAAGTACAAAAAAGCCATTACGTTCATGGAATACTCTTTTTTCATGTTGAGCATTGCTTAGTAAGTCATTTTTTCTGTGATTCATATATTTAAATATTTGTTTAAAAAATGCTTAAGGTAGGGGCTGGAATTGTGGCTCAGCGGTAGAGTGCTCGCCTAGCATGCACAGGGCCCTGTGTTCGATCCTCAGCACCACATAAAAATAAATGAATGGAATAAAGGTATTGTGTCCAACTACAACTAAAAACAATAAATATTTTTTTTAAAAAAAGAAATGCTTAAGGTACAAATATGTCATGGTGTATCCCACTATTGCATATAATCATAATGCACCTACTGTTAAAGAAGTGCACACACACTTAAGGGGCTAGAGGAGTAGCTCCGTGGTACAGCATGTGTTCTGCCTGTCTAAGGCCATAGGCTCCAGCTCCAGCTCCAGCTCCAACATTAACAAAAAGAAAACTTAAAAATTATTAACTGAGCAACTGTGTATGCCAATCTTTATGCTGGGCACTGAGGATACAGCAATAAACGAGGTCCCCAGCCTCGTGTTACTACATTCTACTGGGGAAAACCCATACAAGTCAACTTAAATAAATAAGACATTTACAGACTGACATAAGTATTATAAAGGCAGGGGGAAGGCTGAACACTTTCAATAGGAATGTCAGGACATTCAGAAGAGGTAACGTCTGAACTGAGACCCTGCAATTTTGAGATTTGGGCATAGCATTCCAGAGAGGACAGGAAGAACAGAGGCCCAGAGCAGCAGAGCCTGCTGTGTTAACACTCTGATTCTCAGCCTTGGCTGCCCATTAGATTCACCTGGGGAGCTTTTTAAACTACAGATACCCGAGCCTCATTCCTGTGCTAGTTTTTAAGTTCTCCAGGTGAGTTTAATTTCCAAGTTGGCAATCCCTGTGTTAAAGGATCAAAGTCAGTGTGTCTGACCACAGGAAGTAAGGGGAATTGAGGTTAGACCAACAGGAGTAAGTCTGTGCCGAACCTTGTATGCCTTAGGAAGAAATCCGAATTTTATTCCAGGCCTTGGAGATAACTATGGGAGCCTGGTTCCAGAGGCACGTCACTAACTGATTTATGTTTCTAAAGATCAGCCTGATCTCCAAGTGGAGAATCAAGAGTGGCTCTCAGGGGCATAAGTGGAGGGAGGAAGACCAAAGAAGTGGCCACACAACTGTTCAGGTGAGAAAGGCCAATGGCTTGGGCTGGGGTGGTGGCAGCAGAGATGGGGAGAAGTGGATGGGTTTGGGCTACGTTTTGGAGGCAGAAACTACAGGGCTCTGGGGTCGATTGGTTGTGGTGGGGGAGCAGAAGGAAGAAACGATGGGTGACTTCTCAGTCTGAAGCCTTAACAAGTGGATCAGCGCAATGCAATCCTGGTACCTGGAGTTCAGTCCCATGTCAAAGGTTGAGGACACCATCTTCCGCCAGACTCTCTTCAGTTCAGGCATCAGCCTCGAGGACCAGGGTCCCCATAGGGGAGACGGACTTCTGACTGGGTGATGGGAGAAACAAAATCCAGTCAAGTGAGTGGGAACATATGGGCAAGACTGCAACTGGGGCTTCAGGGAAGAGAGAGAGTGCTGATCAAAGGACCAGGGCACTCCCCAAACAAAGGGACATGTAAGCATTTATTGATGTGCTAGGGTGAGCTAAAGTCCTGTAGTTTTCCACCAGCCAGGGGCACGGTTCCAAAAGAAGTTTCTTTCTGCATGAGATTCATACCACTGGGCAGTCATGGTCAACTTTTCCCAGGAATTGCTAGGCTACTCTTGCTGCTGGTGCCATCATCCTGTGCAAACATCCTGGCCTGAGGCTCTATCTGGGCCTTCTGATAGACTTTCAGGTGCTTGGGCTGCTACTGCTGCTGAAAAAGCACAAGAATGGGGGTGGAAGAAAACATATCAGTTCCCACGGGCAATCAACATGTCTACATGCAAAGTCAGGTAGAACCAGACCCAAAAGTTAAGGCACCAAAGGGGTAGATGTAATATGAAAACAGAAATGCCGAGCCTCTTCATTCCTGTCACCCATTGGACATCAGCAAGCCCAAGTGAAGAGGCAGCGTTAGATGTGGACTGAGGATGCAGAAGCCTCACGTTTGGGAAATCCTCAGACCTCATGCTTTGCATCTCTTCATTTGGCTGGTCCTGGTTTGTGTCTTTCTTAGTAAACTTCAGTGGTACAATATGGTGTTTCCCTGAGTTCTGTGAGTTGTTCTAGCAAATTATTGAACCTGAAGGGTGGAGGAACCCTCCAATTTGTAGCCAGTTTGGGACAGTCAGGGAACAAAAAGCTGCAGTAATGAAATAAACCCAGCTGACAGAATGAAATTCCTCAGCAAGTCAGTATTAAAAGAGAAGATGGCCCAGGTCTAAGCCCCAAAGCAAGGAATCATTACTACCTACAACTCTGCCTTTCCCGCTATCTCATCTTTATCTGCTCAGGTAGCCAAAAAATCAAAGTTTGTCCCAATTGAGACAAGTTCTGGCTTTTAAATATGCAGACCTCAAAAATCATGCATTATACGAACAGAGTCAGAGGATTGCACCAAGGATATCAGGCTTAAGCCAATGAGCACCCTTGCTGTTCACATCTTCTAAAACAGAGAGTAATACAGAAAAAAAAAAAACTAAGAGCCCAGAATATTCTAAAGACATGTGGGATATAACAAAATATATTTCTTTTGCCAGCATAAAACTATGAAAGGATTTAAACAATGAGCTTGTCACTTCTACAGCAATTTCTTCTATTTGATAATGTTCACTATCCAAACTGTAACTGTATTAAAAACAATATTGTTTATATTTTGTTTTAAAGGAAAAATTTTCTCATTTCTTATTAAAAGCAAAATTTACTCAACTTTATTTTCTTTTTCAGTGAATAGGGATCAAACTCAGGGCCTCACACATGGTAGGCAAGTACTCTACCAGTGATCTACATTCTCAGCCCAAATTTACTTATTTAACTTTTGAGAACTAATTTAAAACTACAGTATGTCCAATAGATGAACCATTCTGAAGATCATTGCCACCTAGGACCAAAATTATCATGGTGATAATCAATAAGATCTTCATCCAACGCAATCCCAATTAATAATAAAAAGAATGGCTAGCATTTAAGCTCCTATATATAACAACTCACAGCTAATATCCATTAGTTATTGAATGCATGCATTTAATTTTTATTTAATAATATGTTTACTATGTATTAAACAATGACCCTGTGAAATAGAAACTATTACTACCCTTATTATACAGGGAAGGAACCTGAGGCTTAGAGATAAAATAACTTGCTTCTCTGCAAGACATGAGTTGTTATTGAACTGCATACAGTTAGCAAGCACCGAAGTTGGGATACTTGCCCAGTGCTGTCTGAAGATGAAGCGGTAAGAGGCTCGGAATTGAAGGAGAGCTAGTCACGGGTGCGTATGCACATGTCCTAGGTGCATGACTGCTCCAACAATGTTGGGTTTTTTTCTGTTAGAAGGGACAGGACAGTGTGCACTTCCTGTGGGGCTGCCTTGCCCTTTAGGAGCAAGGTTAGGCAAGCCTTGAATTGGTATTGGGTAAAGGAAGTCCAATAAAATAAAGCAACCCATTGTTCCATGTCAAGTTTATTTATTTATTTTTAGCCTTTACCCAATCCCTGAGGACTGTCTGATTTAGAGATTCTTTCCCCCGTTGATGATGTTCCAGAAACTTCCCCCCAACTGACTGTGCATTGGGTGAGGGAGACCGCCACCAGAAGTCAAGCCATTGAGACTAAGCCAGTTACTACCTATTTGTCAAACACCAAAATATCAGAATGTCTAGATGTCAGAGCATCGAATTTTAAAGAACTGGGGTTTATTCATTATTTTGTGTTTTTATATAAATATATTCTAAATATCAAACACATTTTATTATTAGAAATTATTTATTATGTATTTACTATAGTAATAAGAGCTCTCATTATTGAGTTTTTTCTATGTAACAGTTCACAAATATTTTTATTTAGTCTTTGTAACTCTGAGCATAGAAGGCATTATAATTCCCTGCAGAAACAAAAGATTTAAGACCACCCAAGGTCACACAGCAGCAGAATGGAGACTCCTTAATACAGGTACTTTCCTACATAAATTCTGCCTCTAATACACTGGTAGCAAACAGTCCCTTAGCTCCAGGCAGAGTGTAGAGATGTCTGTTTATCTTGGATGCCATTCTCTGCCATCCACAGTCCCCGCTTAGCTGCAGGTAATAAACATCCCCCACCTGTTTTATTAAGCTGAATATATTAACATTATTGGAACAGCTATTATGACTCAATGTCCAAATACAGCGATAGTCTGGGGTTATTGGCATGCATACAGTTCTTTGCCTCCATGCTAAAAGGTGCAACACTAACATGCTTTTGTAAATATTATTTTTTTAAGTGCCTGTGTCTTTCTTTCTTTTTTTTTCATGTTTCTTCCTCTACTCCACTGTTAGTTTGTAAGTTACCACACACATACCTCACTGGTGTCCTTGCCAGCCCAGTTTGGGGGTGGATAATTCTTAGTTCTGGTAAGGGGACCTTCCTGTGCATTTGTCAGCAAACCTGTCCTCTTCCTCCGAGATGCCAGTAGCAACTCTGGCTTCCTATTCAGTCAAGCCAAAGAGGCCTCCAGACATCGCCAAATGTCCCTGCAGCGAGGGGCAAACTCACCCCCCATCAGGAACGATCATTCGGGGGGAACACATACACATATACACATTTCTGGATTACTACTTCTAG